CGACATGTTGTGCTACGCACTTGCCTTGCCTGAAGCCAACAAAAAGTCTAGGGCTCGTCATTTTTGATGGGCGTAAAGACAAATATTTACGTACTAGCTGGCAGGGTTGATACGTACATTCATCGTCTGTAATGATGAAACTTCTGCTAGCATGTGTTTTACCATCTCTCAATGTAACCTTAATGAAACTGCCATAATCTTTTACGTCATTTATGCTAAGGCGTAATAGATCATCTCGCCTAAGGGCTCCAAAAATGCCAAACGTCAAAATTACTTTACTTAACAACCATTCTTTGTCGGGAGCGTTGATCATGAACTGAGAAATTTGATCAGATGTAAAAACATTCGCTTTTTTAGGTTTGAAACCAACAGACTTTTTCTTTAAAAATGCAACTGTTTTTGGAAATTTTAAATTTCCAAGATTTTCTTTTACTTTTAAGACATTTTTAACCATTGAATACTTGCTCCACAAGGTGCTAGGTTTCATAGTTTTCGACAGTTCTGACATATAGACTAGAAGTATGTCATCATTAACCTGGCTAGGTTTAATGTTTTCTTTTTGACACCAAGTACAAAGCTTATCGTATTCATTTTCGTATCTTAAACGCGACACATCAGGCAATAATTCGTTTGTTACACTTACCGCTCTGTTCATCAAAGTTTCAGGAATATTATCCATATTAGTACACATAGTTCAAAGAATCTATCTCAACAAACATAACCTAACTGACAATGTCAATATATAAGCGAGGAATGTGTTTTCAACAACAATACAATCAGCTGATCTGACTGCACCGCAAAATCCCATAGCGGTTACTTTCCGTGCAGTACATACGCACGGAAAGTTAACGTTATGTAACTTTTCCGTGCAGTAGCGGGAATTACCTATTTTCTTATCTCATTTTACGTTTAGAAAGTGTACTTTCGTGTGTAGAGTAATGAAAAACATATTTTGGCTATAAATCACGTCGACTGTGACTCAGCTTTAACATTCAGAAGGTTTACATTCACAAATTTTATAATTGTTTAAACGTGTTGTTTAGAGTCTAGTACGAGTTATTAACCATGTGTCGTATGGATATAATTTTAAAAATTAAAATGCTTGGCTCTACTTCGCTCTTGTAGTTTTAAAACCACAAGTTCTCTTGCCCATGTTAGCGTCGATTACATAATTCATATTCATTTGAGATGGGGACGCCACCTATGTTTTTTAACCCAAATATGAGTAAAGGGTGGGTGTAGAATGGAGTGTGATACCTTGTGTAGCTTTGCTACTAACTGACCAGCTGTTCCATTAGCCAAGAACAGTTGGGTTCAGTTTCGAACCATCAAAAAGCTACACACTTTTCTCAGGATCGAACCGGCGATCTTTTGATTACTAGACGAGCACTACAACCACGGGGGTACAATTTAGATGAAACGTGAACAGATTGACATAAATAAGATTGTATGTTTTACATCCACCCAATCACGAACAATTTCACATAAAGAATGATAATAAATTAGAAGTTGATATCACACTACTAGTAGTACTAGGATTGCTTTCATATAAGTGAAAGCCAGCTGAGCCGAGCGATCACGTTTAATGTTTTACCTAACCCGCAATGTTAAACCTCCCTATCCCCAAGAGTGATGTATATAACTTCGTTACTTCTCGAGTGATGTCAAGTTGAAAAAAACTCACTCAGTGATGTAATGAAACCCATTTAAATAACATTGAGTGCTTAACTTAAAAAAATATACCTCTATGGAGCCAACGACGTTCAACGCTAGAAATCAGCTGTGCGCTTGAATTTTATTTTTATGTTTGGAAGAATTTTCCTAACCTAGCTTTTGTTTGTAAATGAACGTTACTGTTAGAAGATGAGTGAAATGGATAATGAAAAATATTGTTCGTAACCTCCTGTATATTGTCGGGTCAGGTAAAATCTTGTACGTTACACGTTACGCAAGAGCGTGTTTACATCACTTCGGTAAATTATGCAACTCGCTTCCGCTCGTTGCACAACATTCACCTGCGTGATGTAAAAACGCTCTTACTACACTTGTAAGGTAAATAGCTATTTTAATAAAGCAATACATTATAATAATGTTATAATGCTACTATTTCATCAGTTTATCCCAGAACTATCAACATCTATAACAAGTTTCAAAAGTAAAGTTGTGAACATAACATACTATACATATCCTTTGTATCGACATTTTTTCCATGTTTGCTTGGTAATGTCATCTGGTGAACCAACAGATCGAGATTGAGGAAATGTCGATTAATAGGGTTCAACTATTGAACCCTATTAATCAAAATTTTCTCAATCTTGTCGTCGTTGTAAAATATTTTATTTTGTTTATTCAACTGTATATACTGTAGCGTTTACAGTATTAGTGTAGATATGTAATTTTTGTTAATCTAGTAATAGTACTCGCCTAGTAAAAGGTCGCCGGTTCAATCCTGAGAAATGTGTGTAACTTTTTATGGTTCGAAACTGGACCCAGCTGTCCTTGATTATGCTTCCTGTCTAATGAAACAGCTGGTCTTAGTCAGTAACAAAGCTACACAAAACCTTACACTCCATTCTACACTCATCCTTCGCTCATATTTGAGCTTAATACGCACATAGGTGGTGTACCCATCTAAAATGAATACACATAATATGAGACACGTAGGAAGACTTAATTATGTATTCTCTAATAACCGCACAAACACCTCAAATACTATATAAAAAGTTATTGTCGTTTTAGAAAAGAAATAGCCTGTTGAAGATCTAAACATTTACACACTTAAACGTTTAATTGTTTTCTTTGGTTTTCACGTTTCATTCCAGTTCCAATCTGGATGCAAATGACGTAGGTTGGACAACAATGCTTGCTTGAGCTGCTGCATTGTTTTGCTGAGTAGTTCGCCCCCAGCTATACAGCGGCGCGCCGCGGGGCAGCCACGATTACACAGCCATTCCAAACCTGACTTTTTTTTCTGGAAGGAAATGTTTTAAAATATGATTTATATTTAAGATTGAGAGGACATCTCTAAGGTATATTTCATCACTAGGGTATGAAGTGACTCCTACTAGAGCCTGGTTTAACAACTGAGGCGTTGAATGACGTGTTGACCAGCTGTTTTGGATCGTGTAATGGACTAGTTTTTGTTCATACTAAACCACTCTTTAAAGAAAATAATGCAAAAAAATTAAACTGCATACATTTCTTACCTTTGTAAAGTAGCTCCCTAAATTGCTACAGGTTTTTGCAAAAACTTTTATAAGAACTAGCAGCAATACCTGGGTACAAATTAAAATGTACAATAATGGCTATAATTAAGTTTTTTTTCTGTTTCATGGATGTAATCTTGGTACCATTAAATCTATTATGAAATATTCTTTCTCGATGGTAAAACATTATAGACCAACTACTATCACACATTTTCATATATTATTTTGAAAGTCATAAAATACCCTAGAATATTCTATGTTGCCCAGGAAAACTCTTAAATAGTGAAAAAAATTGAATATTTTCACGAACACTCAAATTTTAGGTCACACTCAGCACGATCTCGAACATGTCAATGAACATATCCATATATTTAATTAGTACAAAACTAAATTAAATTATGATTAAATAATTAAATGCTGATTAAAGGGCATGTATTTTAGTGCAAACACATTATAAATACATAGGTAGTTGCAAATAATCATATTTTGATACTTTTTTCCTAAGACATTAGGCACGAGCTCGAGATTGTTTTTCACAGTACTTCAGGCTTGACCTAGGGGTTGTAGAATTATCATATGGATAAAATCCATTGGTGGTTTGGCGGTATTTGAACCCGGGGCCTCAGAGATTGAAGTCCCGCACTCTAACCACTAGACAACCTCGCTCCCCATACTAGCTTTGACTTAGTCAATGATACTAGACTATACGATACAATTTTTATAAATTGAGACTTTATCTTCGGCAAAATCGGCGTCAAGCTTCAGAGAATTGAGAGGCAATTTCCTCTACCTTTCTTTTTCCCTAGAATGAAAAGAACTAATTCATTACCATGACGTATAAATTGGAAAACCCAGTTTTCGCTGCAGCATTTAATTTAAATCCACTAGTAAAAGTTGCCTACATCTTTTGGAACTAGTTAAAAAATAAATTCTCATTTTTAAAAATATAAACAAACATCCCTTGCAGGAGGTTGAGAAGTTTTGTGGAGAATCTCAGACTTGTCGTGGTTAGACCTCGAAATTTATGTTTTGGAGCCCCGGGCTCAAATCTGACGATTCAGAATTTGTTTATACGGTTCAGATCCCAATTTTAAGGTTACACCAATTCATCTAGAGAATGAGATATACTTTTACACCTAACCTTTGAGATTAAAATTTCCAACTTCACCCCAAAAATTATATTTTTCATTTTGTGTTTTTTTTTATCGGTGTACCAATAGCTAAAACTACAATCCTAGCTTGCCTAAGTGAACTTGGTATTTTACATTTTCAACGCTTGGCCAAGACGTCAGCCATGGCGGGCTGAGACATTATTACTTGATGAACGCAAGTTATAGCCAGCTTAATCATGAAGACAGCAAGAGCACCCTTGAGAAGGCTGAGATGGATCACTAGAGTATACAGCAATAGAGGCTCGGCAACAGCACACTCTGTGATGGTATTGAGTTAATACAACATTACATAAAATATTAAAAATTTTAATGTGAATGAAAAGCTTAAACGGAGGAAAATAATATACCCGTAGGTGAATGTGTTTTAACAACGTATTGGTGGTAGTTTTAAGTTCTTATACGCAGAAACATTAATTGGATTAAGAAAGGCTTGATAAAAATTACACTCTCTTATATAGGGACAAAAATCAATTAAATTGGTATTTTAATCGATTTTCGAAATATTTTAATCGATATTTTCGAAATCAATCATCCCATACCATCTTGTGATTATATTTAGTGTAACCACAATGACATGCCCCATGCTCGTTAGGAAGTATGTAACCATTGTAGGATGCGTTACCTTCAAGTGCTTCCCACCGGCGTTTCTCAGTCTCAGACTCCAACGCGTCAAAAACAGCAGCTCCAACAAGAAGGTACGTGAATGTGCAAACTATCAAGGACAAGGTCCGGACGTTTTGCTTCTTCATTCTTTGGGGAGCACCATGTCGGGGCTGGGTTTCGGAGGCCTAGGCTCGGGCCGGGGGCCACCCCCATGCTCCCCGCACCATGCTCACGATCGCACCCTCCCACTACTGCCATCTCCCCCATCACCCATGCCCTGGAACGATACAAGCACAGGTTAGTGGACAGAGGGTAATGGTTGAAACCCCTTTCAGTCACCCATGGAAACCTCTTGGATACCTCATGAAATTGGCTGATGGAATCACCCTGTGCCTGAAGACTATACAAACAGACGCCTCTACTACTGTCATCTACCCTATCACCCATACCCTGGAACAACGATACAAGCACAGGTTAGTTTAGTGGACACTGGATAATGGTTGAAAACATTTCAGTCACCCGTGGGAACCTCCATGGCCGTTGTAATCGCCCTGAAGCAAACACTTCGTGGCATCCTCCTATCACCAAATCCCTAGAACAAATGCCAAATAAGCACATATCAGCAAATCTGGGCAATAGATGATCGCCTGTAATAAATTAACATGTATGTGAATTATCCCATGTTACCCAACACCACAAACAAAACATGATAAAATATGGTTATTATATGCAGTTGGATAAACAATATGGCTTATTTCTGAATACCCATGATTTGTACTAATATATACGCATTAATTTTAGATATCACCTACGCCTAGAAAAACACAGATACAAACGTTAGTTTGAGTATTGGCGAGTTAGTTTCATGATAAATTAAACTTAAGGAATAGGGAAATTTGGAGACATTTAACTCAGTAAAATTAAAACATATTTTTTACTATAAAATGTTTTAAGAGACGCAAAAGTTTATCTTATAAGACACAACTTCACATTTTTACACATTGTTATGATAAAAGCAATCTGTTAATTTTTCTTTTGACAAATTACTGAGCTAGCTTCCTAACGTCCTCGATACTGTGTTGAAATCACAAATCGTGTTTACAATCTCACTAATCTACCACAGGAGCTTACTGTTTGCTTTTGGGGTGGGTAAACATTTGTACCACCAATACAAATACTTGTATACATAGGTTGAGATAAACATAACTTGGATGCTCCGATATATTGGTTTGTAACCTTGCACCGTACTGTAAGACAGACAAATAATAATATGAAAATTTCAAAGTGCATAGCAAAGGGCAAAGAGGCCGTCAATCTCTTTAAAAAATGTTCTGGCACAAACATAATCTCGCCAATCTCGACCCCCTTTACATAAAATACCGAGAATCACTGTTTGATGTAAGAGATTTAAAAGCAAAAAGGGATGTTAGTTAAGCGTTTACTTTGAGCTTAAAGTCCGTCCAAATTGGTGTAGTAGATTAAAATAAGGTTTCATACATTCTTAAATACCCAAAGTATGTACGTCCATCACAGTGTCGAAGATGTTAAATATTTGTGTCTTTCCAAACCTCCCCCCCATAGAAGTTCCAAAGTCACCACAACCATGATATAATCCTGTAATTATACGTTGTATTTTGGCAAGTTCAAGCCAGGATTTCAATGTGATGGTGTAAGCCGTGGTACGAAGGTGGGTAAACAGTTGTTTTACCACCTACACACCACAGCTCTATCCCTTATAACGCTGTGAAACAAAAACAGATTATGCGGCTGTATCTTTATGGATATTTTATAGTGATTAGATATTATTTCAAGGTGAACTTCAATCATATACCGTGACTTTTTACGAAAAAAATACCAAACAAGTGTTCAGCAGGGAAAATATTATTGAACAAGTATATTACATCGTTGGCATAAAACTTGTATCTTAACAAACTCAGGTCATAAATGTCAAGGTTAAGTCTGTAGCATTGTCAATCAAACCGCTCATCCTTTCGATATATAATATGAATATACCTGTGTGTATAGTGATAAGCTGGGTTGTAATAAGTGGTACTCAATGGGGAGAAGAGGGTGAATATTGGTTGGACTTCCACCTACACAACATTCCTCTGGCGTACAACACTGATGAACATAAGGAATTAATGGGTTATATGGGTTATATGGCATCAAGATAGACAAAATGTAGTGATTATCGTTTCAAAGTTCGGAAAGACGTTGTGGGGAAGAAGTGGGTAAATATTTGCTTGAAACTTAAGAGTGTTGTTTTCGAAACATCCCTTCACTGCTTAGAACACTGCTGAACAACAAAGGATTAAGTAGTCTGTATCTAGATAGATACTGTATATAGTGATTAAAATGTTTTGGAGGTAGCTGTTGGGTTGGAGTGGGTAAATGTCTAAATCTACAGAATTGTTGACACAACTACTCTTAAGAATACTGGTAAGCAGCATAGGATAAGGTTGTTGTTTATGGTATATATATGGTATAAATATATGTAGTAATTAAGCAGTTTTTAGGTATGTTGGTTGTACTCATGAGTATAAATGAATAAATCTTTGTTGAAGCTTAATGAATGTTATTATTATTATAGCTGATTTTAAAAACTAAAGCGTATATAAATAGGAACTCTTTCTACCATTTAAAGCACTGTATAACAACAAAGTATTAAGTGGACTGGGTCTAGGTAAATATTTTGTGACAATAAAAGGAGACAAACATTGAGGAAAAGTGGATCAATATTTGGTAACCCTTCACCATCACAATGATTTCTTCTGGAACATCACCAAACGACGAATGATTGTGTGGGTGCTAAACATCTAGATAGGGATTAGCTAGTGAAAATGTGTGGGTGGTAGGAGACGAGGAAATGTGGGTCACTATTAATCTAAACTCCATCGACTTCAAGCAATCAGATCATTTACAATTATAAAAAAATGGTTAATTTCATTGTGTACTAAGTAGTTCGAATACATCCCAAAATATAAATACGTGGTTATCGGTTCTTTATCCTTCACATACATATTCCTACCAAGTTGCTCTAATACTCTACAGCACTGCTAGATGTAAAAAAAAATAAAACATGTATGTGTAACTCCAAAAGACATAATTTTCATATTTTTAGATAACGATTTAAAAATTGATCTATGAATGGATAAAGACAGCCTTGTCACTCTTCTAATCTAAGATAAAGTTAAATAAAGTTCTTTATACAGGATCTTTTATTAAAAGCCCAAAGGCCAAGAAGATCCAAATACAGTTTCAGACATTCAAAAGCCTTTGACTTTTCTCAGGACCAAAACTGCAGCCTTTTAATTAGAAGGCGATCACTTTGGACTCAGTTAACAAATAAATAAGTAGGTCAGTGTAAAAAGTCGAGTGGATATATCCTTTTACTCCACGACTTATAACAACAAATTTCTACAATTCTTAAATCACTTCAAAAAATACCAATACATGTAGGTTTTGGGACTCTATCTCTAACTTTAGTGGTTTAGTCATTCTATCCAATGCTAATGTTATTCAGTTTTAGAATACATATAATAGCTATTTGCTTAACCGTCATAGTGTGTTGATGTAAAATATCGTTTTCCTTTAAACCAACCAAGCTGAAACACGTACAAAAAATAAATAATAATGTTCGCAACAAAGGAACATTTTTCAAACAATCAAATGTCTAGAATCACTTACAGAAAACCCGTATAATAGTTGTCAATGTCCAACGACTGCCTTAACTTCAGCAATGAAAGGCAATTTAAAGCTTTGCTAATTAATTGCCCGCATCTGTTATAAACTTCAACTCTGCTAAATAAAGCGGTTCGTTCGTCCTGTAATGCATTTTATTGTAAAAATACAAGCTGAAATTTAATGTATGAACGATAGAGGACTCTCGTTGATAAAAAAATTATCGTGGTTAGCACCTAACGTGAACACGATAGCTGTTTTGACATTGGATATTTTTGTTCAATATATTTTTTTATGTAAAGAATAAATCTGAAATGTTAGATTATCGAAGCATAACCTATAGATTTGTATGTTTTGTTACTCTATATGAAGATAACGATATCGTTATATATTATCTAGGTTCACGCTTCATCATGTCATTTCCATTCCAGTTGCTTCAAACATTCAGTTGTGAAACGTACCCTTCTGTCAATAGCGTTGATTCTAGTTGACTGGTTCACTACATAGGTCATATCTTTGAATGTTGATACACTATCAAGTAAGCATTCCATTGACATGTTAAAGTAGTTGCAGTTTAGGAAAAAAACTGACGACAGTTGAGCCAGTAACACAGATTGTCAGATAAACAATGAGAAGCTAAATGACAATGTTTTGCGTATTATACATTGTTATCGGATACAACCAAGCATATTTACTTGTCAAAATTAAGAACGAACACAATTATTGCAGTTGGTGGGTAAATATGTAAGTGCTGACATCTTATATACATTTCCTTTAACCAGCATCTTAAACTATTTGAATGTGCTTTTTTATTCCTTTTAGTTGTTATGAACATAATAATTGGTTTTGAAACTGTGGAACAAAAATCCATACCAGACTTTGTGAGGTTGTAGTATATTTTGCTGTAATGCTGGGGCTGCCGTCGGAGATTTTTGTGCATCCAATGCAAATGCGGGTCCTTTTGAGGTAATTACCCATCAAACAACCAACAAACATAATTCGACTTGCTTATCAAAACATCTTGTTTACTTAAATTAATGATATTGTTGTAGGAAAAATTACAGTCTGTACAAACAAACCTGGTAGTACAGTAAATAGATGATAATGTCTATCGTAGTATCCGCATTCAATGATTTTTGCATTCAATTAATGACTAAGTGTTTAATCATAGATGAAACACACTCCTTTTGTTTGTTATTCTATGGTTTAAAGCAACAAAGGTACAAAACATGTCTTAAGTGTAAACAGGAATGTATCATATATGACTTTGTATGAACTGTTAGTCAATTCACATCTATCATAATCAAGACTATCAAATTCTACCTTCCTTGTAGCAGCAAACTTAAAACTATCGTTATTAAAATAGGAAATAAATCTGACAAGTTTTTAGTGAAAATCCAACGAGGTAAATGAAAATCAAATTAGTCCACAGGTTCGCCATGGCGGGGGTATTTTAATAATTGTTCACAAAAATGTTCTATACATTTCCCAATAAAGTCTATAACAAAATTCCATATCTATGCTCTTCACATTATTTCCCAAATAATACGCCCTGCAAAAACACCAGTAGCAATATCACATACCGATTGCGATGAA